CGCGGTTCTCATTGCCCCGGAGCAGAGACTGTGCGGGAGAAGCTGGCTCCTCCGTTTGGTCCCGCAGTTCTGTCGGGCGCCCTCTGCCGGCCAGGCCGTCGCTTGGCCATTGCGGCAAACCTGGGGACAGACTCAAACATCAGCGGAACCACCCGCCTTTGGGGTGGCGAGGGGAGGCTGACCCAGTGGGCCGCAGTACGTTCTTTACGAAGGTAAGCATTTGTCTTTCGTTAGAGCAACTGTACATGAATCTTAGTATAATTAAACGTGACTCATGGAGGGGGTTAATGGGAGAAAAAGGGGACAGATGTAATACTTTCAACAATAAACATTAAAAAAATGTTTTAAAGTGACTCAGTTCTTTGATCTCAAAAGTAACTTCCTGTGAATTGGAGCGAATATAAATGTAAATAAGGCCCTAACAGGTTTGGCTCAATGGATAGAGCGTCAGCCTGCGGACTGAAAGGGTCCCGGGTTCGATTCCGGTCAAGGGCATGTACCTGGGTTGCGGGCACATCCCCAGTGGGGAGTGTGCAGGAGGCAGCTGATTGATGTTTCTCTCTCATCGATGTTTCTAACTCTCTATCTCTCTCCCTTCCTCTCTGTAAAAAATCAATAAAATATATAAAAAAAATAAATGTAAATAAGGCGTTTACCTCAAAATGAAAACTAAGCTCTATGGACTTCCTATTGTGAGCTAGAGCACATTGGTTTGGAAAGGCAACTGAAATAAACTCAGAAAGACACATCTCACATCTAAATGTCTTATTGCAGGTTAGAGCAAATGAAGGTAAATCTAAGTATTAGTCCTAATCCTAACGTCATATGGGAAATGAGGACAAATTGAGTTTATGGGAAATCAAGCTCTAAATCACTTTTAAAATAAAATGCGTGAGCTTTAAGGTGCTATAGAAACTTTCCCTTTGCAAACAAGCTCAGGAACACAGTCACCTCAAATGTACCATCTTCGTGCAAATTAAGTAGGTTGAGTATAAACAATATAAATAGGGTGTCCCAAAAATGTATACACACTTTGAATAATTATAAAGGCAGTGTTTATTAAAATACATTTCATTTTCAAAATAGAGCTATCAGCTGTTGAAATGTGTATACATTTCTTTGGGAAACGCTGTATATAAGATAAATTAAAAGTACCTGATTATGTTGAGTTAGTGAAAATGAAGATGAAATCAAACTGAAAATGAAGATGAAATTAAACGGTGTCAAACAAGCAGTATGTTGGCAAACAAGCTAAGATGCAGATATTCCCCGCTAAGAAAACTTCTAGTAGTGAGACAGAGCAAATAAAAATGAGCTAGAACCAATTTAAATAAATCTAAGCAGTATCGGGGAAGATGTCATTATTCCTTAATCTACCTTGTTATGAGGAACGAGAGTAAATATAGTCAGTGCTAAGCATTTTAAGTGCACTCACGCGCAAAATAACTCCTTTATTTTAAAGGAAACTGTTTATTTCTCTTTAGAAAGAATTCATATGTAACAGTTGATACTGAAACAAGTACTGACTCAAGCTCTCTCCAGGTAACTAAGAGTTTAATCTAAGAGGTTTTTATGTGGAATCAATCTTGAAATCACTCATTCATTTCAAACAGATCTTACAAGCTTCCAAAGTACTTTGTAAACTTGAAGTGTGCAAACAAGCTCAGAAACATACATTCATCTCAAAATTTCCTGCTTCCTTCACTGGCTAGGAGGAGTGCCGCGGTCCTGGCTCAAAGACAGAGATGATATTCACGGAGACCACCCGCAACGGTGCTCCTGCTCCCCCTCCAGGGGCTGAGTCTGGATGTAGGCTCCATAGCAAGTCCCTGCCTCTCACTCCAGAGGCCACACCCCTGCTTCTCTCTCCAGAATATACTAGTGAGAACCCACTGCTGGCTCCAGAGCCCAAGTCCCAATCCCCCTTCTAGAGCTGGAGTCTCCCGTTAAGCAATTTTTTCTATCTGGATTCCTTTAGGCAGGTAAGGGGAAGGGTCAAAGTTCCTTTCTGAGTTTCTTGTATCTTACAAATAACCAGCTTAAAATAATCAGTATCCCAAGAGGCACATTTTGGGGTGGAAACTCAGCTTCCCCTCACTAGTAATAAGAAGGTTCTTTTAAGAGCATGCATGAGCCGTAGCCGGTTTGGCTCAGCGGATAGAACATCGGCCTGCAGACTGAAGGGTCTTGAGTTTGATTCCGGTCAAGGGCATGTACCTTGGTTGTGGGCACATCCCCAGTGGGGGGTGTGCAGGAGGCAGCTGATCGATGCTTCTCTCTCATCAATGTTTCTAACTCTCTATCCCTCTCCCTTCCTCTCTGTAAAAAATCAATAAAATATATATATTTTAAAAAAGAGCATGCATGATAGTGAACTCATTTTCACAAATACTGCTTTGATCCATTATAATTGCTTATAACTCTCCAAAGAGAAATTCCGAGATCTTTGAAGGTTTGAGGACTTTCTAGTACGTTTGAATCCTTTTGAAGGTTCGTTTGAGAACAGTATGTGATTCAAGTTCATTATCATAAACACTGCTTAGCTACATTGAGTGTGGTTTCATTTGCAGGAAGAAAGTGCAGTTGAGGTAAATGTGTTTTCCTTAGCTTTTTTTTTTTTTTTAAGCTCAGGTCTTTTCTGAACACATATCCTAGTTCTAAACACATATCATAGTTTTAAAAAATTACCCAATATTTACAGGAGCTTTTTCTCTTGTTTTGTTTTTATTGATTTTTAGAGACAGAGGAAAAGAGAGAGAGAGAAACATCGATGTGAGGAGCATTGACCAGTTGCTTCCTGCATGTCCCCTCCTGGGGATGGAGTCCACAACCTGGGGCATGTGCCCTGACTGGGAATTGAACCTAAACCTTTTGGTGCATGGGATGATGCTCAACCAGCTGGGCTACACTGGCCAGGGCAGGAGCTTTTTAATGTCCTTTTTAATTTCTCAAAGAAATTCTCTCTTCAGCTTTTCCTGCCAGGCTTTCGGCATTCTGTTGTTTGCCTCAACTATGATCTTTTCATCCCGATGGCAATTGGTTGTCCGTTAGCTTTCCAGTGTTTTGGGGGAATGGTCTCTTCATAACTCCTTTTCTGTTCTAAATGAGTTCATTTGGCAAAACAAGGGGCAGGCACA